CTGGCTGGTCTTGAACTCCTTATCTCAGGTGACCCACCCGCCCTAGCCTCCCAAAGTGCTGGGATTATAAGCATGAGCCACCGCACCTAGCCCAAAAGATTTTTAAATGTGTTATACTTCATGAGACAGGCTTTATTTTAGATCAAATTTTATTTTTAGTTGAGCTTTTTATTATTTGGTGAATACTGTTTCAAGGTGCTTTGTTACACTATCTGTTGATCCATCATTTTAAAATTTCATTTTATTACAACCCTCGTATTTCAGTGAGTCCATCTGCTTACAATTTTAAAAGGTCAATCGTTCCTTTTTTCTTTAGCCAAATTGTCGAAGATTCTTTCCTGCAATTGATTTTTCAAAGCCCTGAGTTAGGAATTTACAATTTGGCAACCATCTCAACTTCATAAACAATTTTGTTCTTTAAATGTCATGGCCAACATTACCTGGAACCATTGCTGTTTTATAGTTTAGGTTTATGTTGTATATGTTTTTTAAATTTTTTAGAGATGGGGTCTTGTTCTTTTCAGACGAGTACAATGGGATGACTAGCTCATAGCAGCCTCGAACTGCTGGGTTCAAACAATTCTCCTGCTTCAGCCTCCTGAGTAGCTGGGACTACAGCTGGTCATCACCACACCTGGCTGATTTTTGTATTTTTGGTAGAGACAGGGTTTTTACCATGTTGGCCAGGCTGGTCTTGAACTTCTGACCTCAAAGCGATCTGCCCACCTTGATATCCCAAAGAGCTGGGATCACAGGCATAAGCCACTGCGCCCAGCCCTGTTTTTGTTTTTAGATAACTGTAGTTTACCTGAATTTGTAACACAGTAATACAACACTATTTTGATCTGAACACAAGTATCCAATGGAACAGAATAATACACTTCCTTTTAGTGTGTTGCATTTAGTTACTGGGTAATTTAAAATCCTTCCTCAGCACAGGCGTTCAAAAACCAGTCTTCAGAGATTGTTTTAATATCAGTGTGCCAACTTTGGCACATTCTGCTAAGTAAGAGGCTTAAATGTAGCATGTCTCTCTGCTTTTTTTTTTTTTTTATTTTTTTGAGACAGAGTCTCTCTGTTGCCCAGGCTGGACTACAGTGGTGCGATCTTGACTCACTGCAACCTCTGCCTCCCAGGTTCAAGTGATTCTCCTGCCTTGGCCTCCTGAGTAGCTGGGATTACAGGCATGTGCCACCTGTATTAGGCACCGCTAATTTTTGTATTTTTAGTAGAGACGAGGTTTCACCATGTTGGTCAGGCTGGTCTCGAACTGCTTACCTCGTGATCTGCCTGCCTCAGTCTCCTGAAGTGCTGGGATTACAGGCGTGAACCACCGTGCCTGGCCTCTGCTCTTTTAGCTTTCCCTTGGCACTTCTCTGGTCCAGATGTTAGATGTATTTTGAGGGGGCAGATCTTTGGACTGTAATTGAAAGTTCTCTCTCTTATAATGAAACGTGTTATAATGAAGACCTGTAAAACACTTAGGCTGATAAAACCTCCAAAGATGAAGCCTCACTTGTTACCCTCTCTTTTAACAGATGTCTTACTGTGCCTGGCTAACTACAGTCGAGGGGGTGATGGTCCTATGTGTCGCCCAGTAATTCTGTTGCCAGAAGATACCCCCCCCTTCTTAGAGCTTAAAGGATCACGCCATCCTTGCATTACGAAGACTTTTTTTGGAGATGATTTTATTCCTAATGACATTCTAATAGGCTGTGAGGAAGAGGAGCAGGAAAATGGCAAAGCCTATTGTGTGCTTGTTACTGGACCAAATATGGGGGGCAAGTCTACACTCATGAGACAGGTAACTGCTTCTTAAGGTTTTGTTATCAGAAAGTCATTTGTGACATTAGGAACAACATACTTAGGTGATCATTTTCCAAACACAGTTACATAAAATTCAGCCAGTGACTTAATAGAAAGCAAAGGGAAATACTCCTTGTGTTATAAAAGTGAGCATTTACCTGAAACATCTCTGCTTAATGTTAAGGGGAATATATGTTAAAAAGGGGAAGGAGGTCAGTCATTCAGGTCTTGAGACTCTTTGACTTGAATTCATTTCCTCAGAAGGTAGGTATAGTCATAATGAACAAAAATACAAAGGCTGTATGAAAAGATGAAATGTTACAGGTTTATCCTTAAAATTAGACTCATTTGCAGAAATGCTTCATGTGAACAGCCTATGGCCAACTTAGGTAAGAAAGCAAATACAGTTCATGACCTCTAGCAACTGTTGGAAACTGCTCTTTAGGGATGACATGTTGGCCCTTTTTTTGTTGTTGTTGCCAAGGCTGAAGTGCAGTGATGCCATCACAGCTCACTGCAGCCTCAAACCCCCAGGTTCAACCCATCCTCCTGCTCCCCAGTAGCTGGGACTATAGATGTGCACCACCATGCCTAGCTCATTTTTTAAGAAAATTCTTAAGGCATTGTATTTATCTTCCCTTTATAACCAGGGGTTGACCAGCCACAGAACTTGTAAAGTTTTTTTGTATTTTTAAAAGGTTGTAAGAAATAGAAGTAGTAATTGGCTGGTCCCTGCTGCTCTCCTGCATTATAGTATACTTCTGTTCACCTAGTTTGCTAGAGAGAGGCAGAATAGTGTGTATAGTGATTTCCAAATTTTTTCTTTAAATCAGAATCACCTGTGACAATGTTTAAAAAAAAAAAAAGGGTGCAGAGATTCCATCCTGAAATGGATTCTCTTGATTGGAATTGATTCTAGGCATCTCTAGTAGTTTTAAAGAGCTCCTAGGTGATTCTATTCTGGCCAACGTTGAGAATCACTAGGGTAGTGGGGTTAGTAAGCAGGCTCTGATGTTTTAAAGGCCAGTGAGGCCCTATGCCTCTTGTCTCTCTCAGCCTCAACTTTCTCCATTTTAGCAAATGGATTTCAGAATAGAACCAACCTACACAGGATTGTGAAAGATTTTTTAAGAGTGCCTAGCTCTTACATAAGGGTTCATAAGAAAGACAAAAGTTTATTGTCTATAAAACTCTTGCTAACAGTCATAAAAGACCTTTTCCTCCCTCATCCACAGGCTGGCTTATTAGCTGTAATGGCCCAGATGGGTTGTTACGTCCCCGCTGAAGTGTGCAGGCTCACACCAATTGATAGAGTGTTTACTAGACTTGGTGCCTCAGATAGAATAATGTCAGGTGAGTTTTTTGTTTCCCACCTAAGTTCTCATTCATTCATTTAGATATGATAAAAGACATTTGCTTCTTGTATATGAGCCTTTTAAATCTAATGTTTGATTTTTCTGATGTTACTTTAAAAACACCACTTTTTAAGAATTGCATAGTCTCTTTTTTTTTTTTTTTTTTTTTGAGATGGAGTTTCGCTCTTGTTGCCCAAGCTGAAGTGCAATGGCATGATCTCGGCTCACTGCAACCTCTGCCTCCCAGGTTCAAGCAATTCTCCTGCCTCAGCCTCCCAAGTAGCTGGGATTACAGGCACACGCCATCACACCCAGCTAATTTTTTGTATTTTTAGTAGAAGCGGGGTTTCACCATGTTAGGCTGGTCTCGAACTCCTGACCTCAGGTGATCTGCTTGCCTCGGCCTCCTAAAGTGCTGGGATTACAGGCGTGAGCCACCGTGCCCGGCCAATCACTGTACAGTCTCTTAATGAGATTTAATATTTTACACCAGTATGTGTAGCTCATGATAGCTATATAACCTAAAAGAAGAATTTATATAATATGATTTGCATTTGTGATTTTTTTTTTTTTTAGGTGAAAGTACATTTTTTGTTGAATTAAGTGAAACTGCCAGCATACTTTTGCATGCAACAGCACATTCTCTGGTGCTTGTGGATGAATTAGGTAAGACGTTAAACTTTTCATTTGAAGGCTATCTTATAAACATTTGTCCAAAGAATTTTTCTAGAAGATTATCTGAAGGACATCTAAACAATATGACTGTCTTTAGAGCATGCACTCACCATTATGGCACAGACCCATAGTTGCAGATAAAAGGTGATATTGTGAAAGGCTTTTGATTACCCATTAATTACTAGGCCTTACGTTGTTCAATTATAATAAAACAAATTAATAAAACATAATACAGGGATGAGAACACTAATAGGAGGACTCACGAAGTTTCTGACCTTGAGCGATACTGTATTTAAAAGAAACCTCACTCCCCATGGGCTGCTAAGCAGACTTGTTTAGCTAAACAAGGTCTATTTATAGAATGCTTTTAGACATGGATATACTAACAGATGCTATTTTTCTGTCCTAGCATTTTTATTTTAATTCCCTTGAGTTACATCCTTATGCATATTTTACTTTAACAGGAAGAGGTACTGCAACATTTGATGGGACAGCAATAGCAAATGCAGTTGTTAAAGAACTTGCTGAGACTATAAAATGTCGTACATTATTTTCAACTCACTACCATTCATTAGTAGAAGATTATTCTCAAAATGTTGCTGTGCGCTTAGGACATATGGTATGTGCAAATAGTTTTTTTCCACAAATTCGGTTTTTTGAGAGGGCCCTTCTGTTGCTAGCACATGTATCGCTAATATTTTTCTTTCTTAAGGCATGCATGGTAGAAAATGAATGTGAAGACCCCAGCCAGGAGACTATTACCTTCCTCTATAAATTCATTAAGGGAGCTTGTCCTAAAAGCTATGGCTTTAATGCAGCAAGGCTTGCTAATCTCCCAGAGGAAGTTATTCAAAAGGGACATAGAAAAGCAAGAGAATTTGAGAAGATGAATCAGTCTCTACGATTATTTCGGTAACTATAATGGAATTATAACTGACCTTAAGTTTCATAAAAACAGTAAAAGTGGGAGGGATGGATGCACTATGAAAAACAAAAAAAATTTTTCTTTTTTTTTTTTAATTTTAAGGGAAGTTTGCCTGGCTAGTGAAAGGTCAACTGTAGATGCTGAAGCTGTCCATAAATTGCTGACTTTGATTAAGGAATTATAGACTACATTGGAAGCTTTGAGTTGACTTCTGACAAACTTGGTAAATTCAGACAACATTATGATCTAATAAACTTTATTTTTTAAAAATGACCATTTTTCCATTTTCTTTCTAGGAAATTAAACCCTTTTAATTCTTATCTACCTTCTACATAATGGTTATTGAATACTCCACAATATATTAAGTCTAGATGTTATGGTACATGCATACACTTTCAGGCTGTTTTATACCCACTGTCACCAATACACATAAATGGGGGAGGGAAAGCTAGGAAACTGTATAGGGCTGTATATATACTTGTCTCAGCTTAATGCAGGAAATTGTTTTAATTTCCAGCAGTTTTGTCTAAACTGTTCAAAAAAAAACTATGAACAGAGTTCAAATACAGGACTGTTTTGAAGAGACTTTCTAAAGTGTACTTTAAAACATAGTAGTTTTTTTACCTTTCACAAAACTGAGTTACAAGAATACTTTTGTTTTACAGTGCATCCCTTCCTAGGAAGTCTCATTAAAACACTCACTTTTTCTAGGGGTGATTTTGAATGCTGCACAGGGAAGGGAAGAAAATAATAGTCTTAACTTTTCTTAAAGGATACCAGAAACATTGCTGGATATAATTTAAGATTAGTGTTTTCTCTTTCATAGAAAGAACGTACATACTGGGACATGAGTACAGTTACAGCAAGTCTAGGTGTGCTAACAAAACAGGGCACATTCAAGTACAATAAGATTTTGCTTGAAATTAAAAACAAACTACATGAGATTAAAGCATTAAAATCATATTTCTCAATCTGAATACATGTTAAAAAAAAAATCAAAAGGAACGCAGAAGTGCTAGCTCACATTTTTACCATATTACAAAAGCAATTGGTACCCATGTCCATAAAGGCAGCAACAAAGCTGCTTGTCTATTGAAGATTACTACTGCAAATTGGACTGCATTCAATGCTAGTTGTAAAAACACCAGCTTTTCAGAAGTTGGTATCTGTACAAAATTGCAGCTTATTTTCTTCACTTCTGTCCCTTCAAGTCTTTACACAGTAATGCTAAAACACCCAGCTTTGAGATCCTGAGTCAATATATTGCCACTTTCTTTTTGGTAGCTTGAGCTTCATAGTGTCAACTGACCTTGTGTATCCATTTTTAATACAGTCTCTTCCTGTAGCATGGGCAAATATGTTAAATCTTCTTCCAAAAAAATGTTTTAAGTTATGATGTTACAATGGCAGGACTTTTTCTTTAGGGAAGGAATTCAGTTGTGCTGCAATGTATTAGATTCTATAGGTGGAGCAGAGTCATATAGTGTATCTGTATCATGTGTAGGCTCACCAGCTAATGTACAAGGATTAGACAGTGTTCCAGCACCACAGTCACAGAAAAACCTAAAGCAAAATAAAAACCTCAATTAGAAACGTGAGGGGGAAAGTAATTGGGTAATATAGCAAGCAAGTGTGCTACATACCTATCATGTCTAATAAACTCTACATCATGTCCCTGATGGCACTTCTTAATGCAGTTCACACATATGGCATTTCGATCTGTGGTGTTACAAGTATGACATCTAAAAAGCAAAAGCTTAAATTACTTTTCTCAAACATGTCATTAATGCAAAACAACATTCCATTCTGTTTATATATTACCCTATGACCTTTGGCTTTAAGAGGACCAAAACAAAATTCTTTGTGGCTCCAGCCCAGATTAATTCTGAAAAGGAACTTTAATGGAATAAGTGATTTTCCTGTCTTTGTCTTCTGAGGGAAGACGGATGATTTGTAAGTTGTATAAAGGCAGTTCTTTCCACTTTAAAAGCCTCTCAAATCTTTCTGGGCTGAATCAATTTGGAGGAGTGAAGAGTCAAAACTGTCATGGTGATTGGGATATATCAAACACTTGACATCTTTACCCTGAAATTTCTAGGAAAACAATACGTTACACAACATAAGTTACATGACATCAGTTACTGTAGTATTAGGTTTTTCCAGTTATGGTCTTTGTTTTGTTTTGTAGAGACAGGGTCTCCCTATGTTGCCCAGGCTGGTTTAGTGCTAGGATTACGGGCATAAGCCACCACGCCTAACCATAGTTACAGTCTTAAACACACGATATTTAAGTAGATTGATTATAAAATTTTCAGTTATAGTCTCAACACTGGCAAATAGCCAAAAATGCTAGGCACTGCTAATTTAAAAAGGAAATCAGTCTTCCTCTTTTCAGGACTCACAATATATTTCTAAGTTACCTGTAGAAATCATGCATGGGATAGCTGGTATAACTTGATATTTTATATAAACATTGGCCTCTACTAACAGCCTTTTCTATGGCATCTTGATTGTTCATTATTTTGTTATCTGTAATAAAAAAGAATAAGTAAAAATCCAGAGGAGTGTTAATATTTTAAAAACTAAAGATTACAGGATTATTCTAACAGAAGAGCCACTATTTTTAAGAGCTTTAAATGAAGCTAACCAATGAATTGTAAGAAATCAGCTAAGAATAGAATTTTCCTTGTATAAGATACTTCAACCATTTAGAACCAAAGCTCTGTTTCTTTCAAAACCTCTTAAATTGTTGCTAACTTGGGGAGTGACATAAGGAATCAAGTTATAAAACGGCCTCTGATATCTTTCATGGCGTACTGCATATATTTATAGGTATAACAGGCTACAACATACCTTTCATTGTCACATTAACACCAGATGCTAAAAATAAGCCTCCAAATCGGTTGTTAAAAATCTGATTGCCTTCTAGTGTTGCAGTTGCGTGATTTGTAATTTCAATACCTGAAGTAAAATTTACAAACAAGTAGATACATCACTTTATACTGCTTCTTAAAAACCTGAAATTAGCATGCAAATGTAAACTGGTTCTTTTATAAAAGTACATTAACCCTCAATGTCTACTGAATAAAATGTAGATATTTATTTCAACCACCAACAGTAACATTCACTTATAGATTATGGTCAAAACCACAATTTCGCACTAGCCTGTCTTAAATACATGATACTTGGATTTCATTTGCATCCATTTTAACATCTGTGTTTCTGTTGCAGACTTAAATTGGTAAATTCATCTGAAGAACTGAATTTATCTGTATTCCTAGTGGTAATACAAGCCTGCATTTATTCTATCCCAATAAATGTTTCATAATCATGACTAAGCAATAACAGCAATATTTCTTAGGAGTCTGGCTTATAGTAGAAGAATCCAGAACCTGATTAGGTGCTCTCGTAAGTGAATGAATAGGCATTCAGCCACTTCAGCAGCACACTTTACACATTTTAGTTAATAAGCGAAACAATGAATATACTCCACATCAAACACTTTGCAGAACTATATATAAGCCACAGGTAAGAAAAGAAAATACAAACCTGCAGCAAATCCATCAAATATTCTGTTTTTCCTTAAGATTGGATGACTATTAGTGCTGATGAGAACACCTGCTTGAGCATTCCTGAAAATATCATTTTCTTCAAGGAGACCTATAATAAAATATTTCCTTAGATTAAGGCTAATGCATATAACAGACTCTACTAGCGTTTTTGGGGGTATTTAGGTTTGCTTTTAGTTTCTTATTTAACTGCATTGTAAAATTCACAGGGCTATTTTTTCAGCCAAAAAGTTTATTATCAGAGGTATTAAGGATCTAACAATTGCTAAAATGACAGGTAAGAGCATTGTGACCAATCTGCCATCTCCATGATAGCAGGGACCATGTCTAAGTTTACTCACCACTTCATCTTCAGTGCCAGGTACACAGTTGATTCTCAATGAGTATTGCTGAATTAAAGTTAATTCCTTTGAAATATTTCTAGAACCTCTGTATCCTCTGTTTTTAGCTCACGCAAGCAAGCCCTTATTTCTGGCCTTTATTACTATAATCATTTCCTAATGAGTTTCCTTTATTCCAGTTTCATCTGCTGCATAGTTCCCAGTCAGTTAACTACAACTCCTATCTTGCCTTTCTCTCTAACAAACTACTTTCAGAATAAAGTTTAACATCACCTTGCCTTTCAAAATATCCCTCCACTTGTTTGTCTTAATGTGAGACATGGTTTTATTTCTGTAGACATGTGACCCCTCTGGTATTTCACATTACTGACCTAAACTTTCCCCTGGATGAGTGGGAAAAATCTGACTCAGGGACTTCTTGGGGTCCATTCTGTTCACTCTCTGGGTATTAATATTTCTGGGTTCTGTCCCTCTCATTTCCCTCTGCATACTCTTTGGGTGATCTTACATCTTGCAACTATTACATACACACTGTTGCTTTTTTATTTTTGAGACAGTCTCTGCCACCCAGGCTGGAGTGCCATGGTGCGATCTTGGCTCACTGCAACCCCCGCCTCCGGGTTCAAGCAGTTCTGATTCAGCTTCCCAAGTAGCTGGGATTACAAGCACCTGCCATCACACCTGGCGATTTTTTTTTTTTTGTTTTTTTGTTTTTTTGGTATTTTTAGATTTCACCATGTTGGCCAGGCTGGTCTCAAACTCCTGACCTCAAGTGATCCACCCACCTGGGCCTCCCCAAAGTGCTGGAATTACAGGCATGAGCCACTACACCCAGCCACTGTTGCTAATTCTTCTATTCATTTAGCTTAGTATAATTAATCACATTCTGGTCATAACCAATTTGGATATTCCAGAAGACAACCTTGGATTCAATGTTTAAAAACTGACCTTACTGTTTTCCAGAAACCATCTCCTATATAACTTACCTCAGTGAAAGGTAGTCACCCAAATCAGAATCCCAAGTATCCATATTTCACTTTTCTTTCAACCCCCATATTAAATCAATGACCCAGTCCTGTTGGTTCCACCCTTTTTATAGAGATAGGTCTTGCTATATTGCCTAGGCTGGTCTCCAACTCCAGACTCAAGTGATACTCCTACCTTAGCCTCTGGAGCAGCTGGAAGTACAGGTGTGAGCCACTGTGCCCAGCTGGTTCTGTCCTTTTAAATATCATTAACATGTCCCACCACCCCCAACCTTTTCATACCCTTATGCTATCATTTTAGTTTAGGCTCTCATTATTTATTTCCTGAGTTATTCCAAGCCCCTGTCTCTAATCTTGATTATTTTCACTACAACCTCAAGTGCTATTGCTAAAATGGAGTCCAAACTCCTTACTGCATATAGAAAACCTCATGATTTGGGCCTTGCCCCTTCTCTAGCCTCAACTTTCAGTACCTCTTCCCTTGTGTTCAATTTCCTCTAGACTTTTGTTTACAATGTGTTCCACTCCATCACACTATACATTTTATGGATATAGTGCTGTTTCATATAGCATTATATCTCTAGCATCTGTATGACAGTGGTTGGTACAGAGATTTTAAATCAGTATTTAAAGAATAAAAGTGAAATAACATCTGGAATGGTCTGTTCACCTCTCCCAAACCCATTTACCAGTAAATATCTACTCATTTTTCAAGACAGCTCAAAAGTGATTTGACTTGCATGAACCGTTTCTCAACACCTTGCAAATAAACCATTCTGTATTGTGTCTTCACTATATTTTGTAAAAACTATCTGAGATTATGTTACTTCACTGAATTACTAGATTATAAGCTCCTGGAGAGTCTGTCAATGGATCATCACTGCTTGGTTGTAGTATTAAATTTTGTTCATTAAATCTTGGTATGTTAGAGTAATAACTAGCTATTCTATGTAAGATAGGTACAAATGTTGGGTTATTGACATTTCAGGAACAGTGACAGATTTGCATTACGGCAGCTCTGTGAATCTCTGTATACATGCCTCTGTAAGGGGCAGCCACTATGGAACTTTTGCCTTAATGCAAAGTGAGTTGACCTTTATGAATACCAAACCAGGCACATCTTGGCTTCATTAATTCCATTCACCAACAAACACAGGTGAAAGCAGTTACAAAAGCAATACCCGTTTACTAAAGACATTTTCAAATATTTACAAATCAATTAATTTCTCACACCTATTTCTATAACTTGACTTTGAAGTTTATTATAATCATATTACTATTCTGAATAAAAGGTCCAGAGAATGTAAACAAATTCTATCTTTAAAAAGGCTTACTGACAACTGCAGACTCAAAGTGGCTACAAAAGGAAAAGAAAAGTATTTTAAACATTTGTCTCTTAACACTAGGCACTATCTCCTAAACCAGCTCAACTTGATAACGAAAAAGACTTGAGATTCACTCATTTATAACTTAGTTAGCAATGTCATTGATCATTAGAGATATGGAAGAATAATGGAAAATTGGATTTTTCACTAATGCAAAATTAACAACAATACCTCGACCCCCATTAAATATACAGATGCCACCATCTCTTCCATCATGGATTTTATTTCTTCTTAGTGTAGGATTACTATCTGTCTTAATCCAGACTCCAGCCATTGCATTGTCAAATATTTCATTGTCTTCTATACAGCCTAGACCTATAAATGCAAAAATGTAGGTTATCTAGAAGGTATATTTCTTTCTTATTTTATTTTTTTTTTTTTTGAGAGGGAGTCTCACTCTGTTGCCAGGCTGAGTGCAGTGGCGTGATTTCGGCTCACTGCAATCTCCGCCTTCCGGGGTTCAAGCGATTCTCCTGCCTCAGCCTCCCGAGTAGCTGGGAATACAGGCATGTGCCACCATGCCCAGCTAATTTTTGTAAGATTTAGTAGAGATAGGGTTTCACCATGTTGGCCAAGCTGATCTTAAACTCCTGACCTCAGGTGATCCACCCGTCTCGGCCTCCCAAAGTGCTGGGATTACAGGCGTGAGCCACCGTGCCCGGCCTAGGAAGTGTATTTCTAAAGTCTATTAACACAGAGAAAAAGATGACAGATAAAACATACCAGAATTATAAACTAGAATTCCACCATTCTGTCCTCCCCAGATTTTGTTGCGTCTAATTTTGGGGTTGCTTCCAGTCCTGTGAATAGAATAGAAAATAGTATCATTTCAATAGCTTCTACTCCCATATCCTCATGTTACGTGAGGTAAACAGTGGAGAAATCCACGTAAGTCATATAGTAAGAATTAACTATGCAATAGAGTCCTTCAAGATGCCCTAAGAAGAAAGTGGTTTAATTTTGCTTAATCCTGTATTTCCCACAGAACATACTTTACTACAGATTATTATTATAGAGTTTCCTAACATGTAAACTAAATGGGGTTATATTAAGTGACTTATATATTCCCCTCATACGTAAAATGAAGGAATGAATTACAGGCATACCTTGGAGATAATTGCAGGTTCCGTTCCAGACCACCATAATAAAGCGAGTATGGCAATAAAGAGAGTTGCACGAATTTTTTGGTTTCCTAGTGTGTTTACATTATATTGTAGTCTATTAAGTATGCAATAGCATTTCATTAAAAAAAAGTACATACCCTAACTTACAAATACTTTATTCCTAAAAATGCTAATAATAATCTGAGTCTTCAGAGAGTTTAACAAAAAAAAAAAAAAAAGAGATGGGGTCTTGCTCTGTCACCCAGGCTGGAGTTGCAGTGGCATGATCATAGCTCACTGCAGCCTCGAACTCTTGGGCTCAAGCAATCCTCCTGCCTAAGCCTCCCAAGTAGCTGGGACTACAGGTGCATGGCACCATGCCCAGTTAATTTTTGTATTTTTTGTAGAGATGGGTTTTGCCATGTTGCTCAGGCTGTTCTCAAACTCCTGGGTTCAAGTGATCCACCTGCCTCAGTCTCCCCAAGTGTTAGGACTACAGGCATGATCTACTGCACCTGACGAATTGGCAATCTCTTAAAATAAGACAAATTTGCCACATAGACTGATTTCCTTTCATGGAAGATTTCTCTGTAGCATTCCTACATGCAATGTTGTTATAGCATTTTGCTCACAGTAGAATTTCTTTCAAAATTGTCAATCCTTGCCAACCCTGCTACTACTTTATTAACAGGCTTATGCAATATTCTAAATCCTTTGTTGTCATTTCAACCATGTTCACAGCATCTTCAACAGGAACAGACTCCACCTCAAGAAAAACCACTCTTTGCTCATCCGTAAGAAGCAACTCCTCATCTGTCCAAGCTTTATCATGAGGTTGCAGCAATTCAGTCACATCTTTAAGTTTCATTTTCTAATTCTACTTCTCTTGCAATTTCTACCACGCCTGGAATTAGTTCCTCCACCAAAGTCTTACACTACCCTAGTCACCCATGAGGGTTGGAATCAACTTCTTCCAAACTCCTGTTAATGTCGTTATTATTATTTTTTTTGTCCTGGCCATGAAAACCTTTATTTTTATATTTAGGTTTGATGAATGAACAGCCATGCAGAAATGTGACTGGACACAAAGGATCTGGCCTAACGGTGATGGATGGAGTGGGGGAAACCCAGCAAAGTCACTCTGTACAATTCCCCTTCCCCTGGGTATGGGGCAGGACCCCCTCGGGAATGAGGATCTTCCAGGGAGAAAGGAAAGAGTGACCTTGCTAGGTTTTATGGCTGGCTTTGAGAGAAAAGAATTCTAGTTTCTAAGACCTGCTTTGGGGAAAAAGAATTCTGGCTTCTGGGACTCAATTTGGGGGAGAAAAGGGGGCAGGAACCAGGAGGGAAGGACAAAGACCTGGCTTCTGAGGTCTTCCAGTCTCCTCTGGGTCAGAGTAGTCTGTATGCCAAGGTGCCATACTTCGGGGTTTAATGAGCCCTGACAGCAGGTCCTTGCAGATTTCACAGGTAACTTGTGATCCAAGTAACTGGCTTTCAGTCCCCCAATTTCAGAGAACTTTAGCAAAGCCTGGCTGAAATTGGCCAAGTGTTAGAAGAACCTCTTCAAAGCTGAAATTCATCGAGTTCTTCAGCTGAGGGCGTTAAGAATCCCAGATGTAAGGTTAACAAGAGTTAGAAGTTCTGGAGTTTTCCCTGCACGCCCCAGCTCTTGAGCATCAACAGGCCAGAAGCTCACAATATCTGATCCTCCTGTGGCTCAGCAGGGATGTGTTTTAGAGCAGCATGTTCAGAATGAAACTGGCGCACTTAGTTGAGCCTCGAGGACCTTTTGAAGTCATGCGTGGCCCATGCTGGCCTCATGGGAACACAGGTGCTCCAGCACCCGATGTGTTCAGGACTAGGTGGGGGGGAAACTTCAGCCCTGAAAACATCCCCCTGCTGTCTAGACCAGCCTGCCCCATGGCCAAGGGTGGTGAGAACCCTGGCCACCCCTTGGGTTGCACCCCTGCCAGTACTAGAACTTAGCTCTTTCTGGGCAGAAAAGCTCAACATTTAGCTCAGGGCATAACTGGAATTTTTTTTTTTTGAGACAGGGTCTCACTCAGTCATCCAGGCTGAAGCGCAGTGGTATGATCATAGCTCACTGCAGCCTCGACTTCCTGGGCTCAAGCAATCCTCCCACCTCAGCCTTCTGGGTAGCTGGGACCACAGGTGCATGCCATCATGCCTAGCTAATTTTTTTCTATCTTTTACAGAGACAGGGTTTCACTATGTTGTGCAGGCTGGTCTTGAACTCCTGGCCTCAGGTGATCCTTCCACCTCAGCCTCCCAAAATGCTTGGATTACAGCACTTTTTCAGATCTCCTCCCAGGAATCATGAATGTTCTTAATGAAATCTGGAATGGTGAATCCAGAGGTTTTCAATTTACTTTGCCCAGATTCATCAGAGGAATCACTATTTATGGCAACTACTGCTTTCTAAAAATAATTTCTTATATAAAAAGACTTAAAAATTGAAATTACTCCTTGATCCATGGACTGTGGGATGGATGCTGTATTAGCAGGCATGAAAACAACATTAATCTAATCTCCTTGTACATCTGCATCAGAATTCTTGGGTTACTGGGTGCATTGTCAATGAGCAGTAATATTTTGAAGTATTTTTTTCTGAGCACTAGGTCTCAATAGTGGACTTAACATATTCAGTAAACTGTACTGTAAATTCATGTGCTATCATCCATGATTTGTTGTTTCCTTTATGATATGTTTTGTGGACTTAACA